TTAGTTTTTAAAAGTTCATTCAACTCATCCTCTTCTCTGAGTGTATAAAAAGTGTTTTGAATTGAAAATTATGGGAATCACACGAGAGAAATGTTTGTTTGTGTGTGTGTGTGTGTGTGTGTGTGTGTGTGTGTGTGTGTGTGTGTGTGCGCGCGCGTGCGTGTGTCCCAAATGAGTGTACGTGTTTTACAGCCATACGGGCACGGTTAGATCATTTGGGAGGCTAGCTGCTTCAACCATGCTACCCAGAGTCATCTCGGGACAGACGAGGGTTTTTCAAACAAAAAGAAAAAAGGAAAAAAAGAAAGAAAAAAACCCCTTCACTCAGGAAGCGAATTCATGTCTTATGTGTGAAACGACAAAGAACCTAATCTTTCCACCGTTGTGTAAATGCAGTCATTTTCTTCTAACATCTCTTTGCATGTCTCTCTTACTGAAGATTTGATCTCTAAAAGTGGTTTTCCAAAAACGTCTACACTTTAAAAAAGAATAAAAGACGAGATATCTTTAAATGTTAAAAGCTTCGCACTCTAAGTCAATTCCCACTCGTCACATGGTTGCGAGTATGCAAATTGTGCAATTTTCGCTCGGTGCATGGTCTCTTTTCTCTACCAAGTGACGTCATAATTCGCAGCTGTACGACGAGTGAAAATGTTTCTGGTGTCTCGTGGCTTAGATAGAGGTTAAGGTGTTTGCCTCTCATTCAAAGGTCCCGGGTTCGAATCCGGGTAGCGACGGAAAAAAAATCTTCTGTGCCTCCTTTCTTGCTCTCTAGCAATGTTCTGTCGTCTGCTTTCGTCTCCACTTTCTGCTCCCACCCCATCACCCCGTCTGGGCTTCTAGCTCTTTCTACAGCCTTTCTACTGCTACTCCTTGGCTCTTTCCTATTGCTGTCTTTCAGCCACATCCTTGATCTTCTGAGACTGATAGGAAAGATCTACACCTAGCCTTCTCGTACAAGGGCGAAAAATCTCGGAGGTCCTATGTGCAAGTTGCGCACGTTAAAGATCCCTTGGAGGTCTAAAATCAATTAGAGTAGGCTTCGGCTGCCGCCCGGGCAAAATTCAAAATTTCCTACCAACTGACAGACAATGTTTTATGTGTCCCGCGCGCTCATATGACCTTATGCAATTGCGAGCATCGTAAAACATTTTTTTTTTTTAGAAAAAAAAAAAGAAACCCTAGTGTAAGTCCTGTACCGCACTACAACAAAACAGTTGGCCGACTGTTTTATCGCGATAGTCTGGATAATGAAAATAAGAGAAACAGGACTAAATAATAGTTATTGCTGGTGTGCTTGCACTCTCTTAATGTAATTGTCCACAATTCACAAACAAAACGGTTAGCCTTTTTTTTTTTTTTTTGGTTGTTATTGGCATGTGGGCAATGAAAATGAGAGAAAAACGACAAAAATTTTGTCATCGCTGTGTTAACTTGATGTGTTGCGGTAGACTTCTTTGAAAACTAGCATTGTGCTGGGCTATCTTCAAGTGTAGCCAGTTTTGTATACAAGTTTGTGCATTCACAGGCTTGCCTTATCACCAAATCAAGTTTTTACAAGCAGAGAGAATAGTGGTGTAAATTGAATATTAAAAAAACAAAAATAAATTAAAGATTGTGGGTGTTTTTTGTTCGTTTGTTTTTTGCTTTTTTCCCTCAAATGTACTTTAAAATGATTTTTTTTAACGAGAAAGCCCTGTCCGATAGCTTGCTCCTGAACTAATTAAGAGTTCCATTTTCTTTGTCTTTGAGAAGTGACCCCTTCCCTGCCCCCAACCCTCCCCCTTTTTAAAACAAATCGTTTAGAATAAATTAGAACAAGAAGCAGCCTTCCCCCCCCCCCACAATAGGGGGTGTAGGGATGGGTGGTGGGAGTGGAGGGGTAAATTACGGGAGGGGGGGAGGGGGCTGGAG